TCAAGGTCACATATTAGTGGCAGTCAGCATTTAAACACAGAGCTGTCTCTGTCCAGAGTCCTTGGACCTGGCCATGCAGCTCAGTTGGTTAGAATGTCGTCCCGATACGCCAAGGTTGTGGGTTTGATCTCAGTCCAGAGACATACAAGAAGCAATCAGTGAATGCATAAATAAGTGGAGCAAGAAACCTCTCTCTCCTCTCCTCTCCTTTCTCCTCTCCTCTCCTCTCTCAAATCAATCAATCCAGGGTCTCCACTCTTTCCTGCGCAGCATCCCTCATGTGAGAAACAACAAAACAGAACTTGACCTACTTATTAGTCAGTGCAGAGACATGACTGCCACGTTCAACTCTGCCAAGGGCTCTGCGTGGCTTCAATGGAGAGACCTGAATGATCTGAGAAGTCTCAGGGGTGCTCCCGGAGAGAGCATCTTAGTAATGGCAGTGACCGCATGGACTCCTGGGTAGGAGGATGAATTCCCACGCCTGGAGGTAAGTAAGCATGGGTTGGAAGCCAGTGGAGAGAGATCTGGGACAGGACCCATAAGTTCACTTCTGACCCTTAGCTTCCATGAGCCTCTGAAGCTGCTTGGCAGAAACTGACCAATTCCTTCAAAAGACGTGATAACAGTATCTGTTGGTGTGTCTGTTTGCAGACATCAAAGTGAAAATTATATGCCCAGAGTAAACACGTTGATCCAGACAAAACTAAACACAGAAAATGAAATGGATTCTACTGGAGATGCTTGTAGGTTAAGCTATTATTTTTTGTTTCCAAAAAACCAAACTCTGGAGAGATGTGTAGTCTTGGACATAATCAAAGAAAATATAATGAGGCACTGGTTTCACCTAAGTTGGCAAAATAATGTAAACATGGTCACACCCATTACTAGTATGTGCATCAAAAAATGTAAAAATGTCATTCCTTTTGATCCAGGTAAAACAACCCTAAGAAAATGATTATTTATATATATAAATAACTGAAATATGAAAAAACTGAAAACAAAAATATTCAACAACAACCTAAAAATTCCAGGAAGGCAAATGGGCCAGCTGGGTGGCAGAGGTGGGGGCTGAGGTCCGTGTGCACAGGGAAAGGCCTGTGAGTACTGGGCACTATGGATGAGCATAAAGTGTCTGGACGGCCAAAGGCAGGTATGAAAGCCAAGTTCAGAGCAGGTCAGACACAAGATAGGAGTACACTCAGGTGAAGACTGAATGGGCACAGGGAGAGGGGAGGGGAGAGGAGGAAGGGAGAGGAAAGGAGGGGAGGGGAGGGGAGGGGAGGGGAGGGGAAAGGAGAGGTAGGTTGCTGGCCATTTACCCACTCTCACTGCGGCCCTTTAATTACATTCTCAGTCCTCCACAATTGGACATTATTTTCTCTGTTTTTCAGATGAAGAAGATGGTGTTCAGAAAGATAAAGTGAGTCACTCTAAGGGAGGTAGAAGGTGCTGGAGTTGGGAATTGGACTCTCATGCAATGACCTCCTAAACCAAGCTCGCTCTACCACGCGTGCTACACCAAAGTGTGCAGCGCGGCCTTTCGTGAACGGGGAGCCCTGCAGGTCAGCCACACAGCTGGCCAGATGTTTACTGGTTGTAGCTCAAGGTCCGTCCACTGAGTAGATGTTGGAACTGGTGGCCATAATTTCCCGGAGCAACAGGAAAGCATGTTAAATGGAAAGGAAAGGACAGAAACCTGCTGTATGCTGTGATCACAGGCACATACAATACACATCCACACCCTGGGAAGACTAGAAGAGGCACAGCACAGTGCTTACAGCAGTGCAATCTGGAATGCTTCCTCTACTTCCCCCAAATTTCTATAAAGTGCTTTTCCTCTGTCATTACAAAAAATGGCATCATTTAGAAATGTATCCAAGAAACCCTTGGGCACATAACAGTCACTAACACACTTTCCTCAGCCAGAAAATACAAACAAGCCACATCTTCGTGTTTCATCTGGGCCAGGGGACTTGCTGCCAGGGCTTCTGAAGACAGTGCCCAGCCTCGTTGGTTCAGGCCCTGCCGGCTCAGTAGTGACCATCCCGTCCCCCACAGCTCACTGGCACCGAAAGAAAGGGATGGAGAGAAAGAATCAAAGGGTGAAAGTGAGGGGAAATCATGGGTGCCCGGACTGGAAGCCACCTTCCGCATCATGTCCAACCGAACAGCACGCAGTGGGCATGAAGGAGGGGCTCTCGGTGAGGTTTAGGCAGATCCTCAGCTCTTTGAGAGAATTTATTCTCAATTTCAGGTGTCCTCAGACATGTTAGAGGGAGCATGTTGTCTCACTTCGGAATCACTCCTGTGCCTTCCTTAAAGCAGGACTTCTGCGAGACTGGTCTTGCTCAACAGCGGCCCTTGTACTGAAATACAGTTGCCCAGCTCCATCTCCCACCTACTGAATGGAGCTCTCCAAACCAGAGCCCAGGAATCTGTATTTTAAGCACCTCAGCAAATTCTTAAGATTGGGCAAGTTTAGGAAACCCTCATCTAACACAAAAACCACTTGAGTTTTGTGAATGTAATAAACTATGACCCTCCTAATTAGTGCAACTCCCAGTTCCTCCAAATGGCTTCAATTAACGGGAATAATTTCCATTGACTGATTACTTAGGCGGGGTCTCTCCTGAACGTACCTGAGATGACACGGCTAGATCAGTGGTTCTCAACCTTCTGGCCCTTTAAATACAGTTCCTCATGTTGTGACCCAACCATAAAATTATTTTCGTTGCTACTTTGTAAATGTAATGTTGCTACTGTTATGAATCGTAATGTAAATATCTGATATGCAGGATGGTCTGTGAAAGGGTTGTTCGACTGCCAAAGGGGTCTCGACCCACAGGTTGAGAACCGCTGGGCTAGATTCTCAGCACAGACCATAATGTCTACGCATCTTTTGGGGAAGAGTGAAAAGGGCAGATATTGCACAGACCTGGATTCTGACCCAGCTCCAATGCTAACTCTGCCCATTTCCTCATTTGTGTGGGTTTAAGAATGATGGCCTTGCCCTCGTATAACAGTAACAGGGTGCCAGGTACACAGCGGATGCTCAGAAACCTCTCAGTAACCAGCTTGTCAAACGTCCGGGCTCTCAAGTGCTTCCTTGCCACGCCCACTTCTGATTTTATCCTGCCTTATACACTGAGGGTCACTGACACATGTGTGGCTTGTAGAGACTTACAGAGCCCTTTCTCCAGGTGCCATCTGGATCCCTCCCCACGACAGCTCTCAGTTATGGATCCTTATTTCCACTTTAGAAGAAACAAGCCCTGGAGAGGTCAGGCAATCTTCCCAGAAGTGGTAAAGTCAGGATTCGAACTCAGATCCCAACACCTTTCACAGCCCTGTTCTCTCTCCAACATGTGCATCATACATTACACAGAGCACTGTCACCTATGTCGTAGCAGTTTTTAAACATAGATTCCCATGCTATTTCCCCCACCCATCTAAAAGCACCTATGAAGAGGTATCCACTGTAGTAGTCTCTGCAGAGAAGTGCACAGCGTCTGGTGTTTGTGCCTTTGCCCTGCTTTTGGGGAGGGGGGGGGAGGGAGAGGAGGGATGAGCTCCAGTACAACGCATCCTTTTCCAGTCTCTCATGCATTCCGTACTACACATGCCCAAGCCACTCCATGCCATTAAATGAGCACATCTAATAGCAAGAATTTATTGAACACAACTGCCCTTAACCTTACTGACCTCATGCAATGAGGAACCTACGGCAAACGTTTAGGAAAGTTCTGGCACATAGTTAGTATCCATTGTTGCTGCCATTATTACTATTAATTATCCACACAGACTTGCCATAGGCATTATTTTCCTTATTATACTGATATGAACTCTGAGAAGTTAAGTGATGGGTCCAAGATCACATTGCTAGTTTGGGGAGAGCTAGGAAAATACCAATAAAGGAAATTCACATCTACATCCTATTATCGAGCATATAGTATTTCACATTATAAAGGATTATCTTATTTATTAGAATAAAATTCCTCAGAGGCAGCCACCTCCCTTCTTATGCCCTCAAAGGACACTGGTCACCTCCACTTACACTGAATATCCTTAAATAAAGGAACCTGAGCTTTTGCTTACAGACCACCAGTGGTTTAATGGTCTAGTGCAGTGGTCAGCAAACTGCAGCCCCTTGAGTGTGGCTCTTCCACAAAATACCACGTGTGGGTGCGCATGTACAGTGCGATTGAAACTCTGTGGCCACATTCAAGGGGCCAAAGAGTCACATGTGGTTCGCGAGCCGCAGTTTGCTGACCACTGGTCTAGTGGGTAACCCACTAGAGAGGCCAACATTTTTCCAACCAATGCCTAAAAGCCAATAACCAGAAATTAAGAAAAAATAATGATCGCCAACATTGGCCATATATATTCCTTATGGCAACCTTGCAAGGTAGATATCATCTCCTTACGAAACAGAAGAGGTGAGGTTAAAATCAGAGCACAGGGGGGCGAGGTTTGGAACCCAGGTGCTCAGCCCAAACCCTTGCCACTTCCAATGTACCAAGCTGACTTCACAAGCATCACAGAGAGGAAAGTGCAAATCAGCAGGAAGATCAAAGGTGGTTTGTCAGATTGCACACCAGGCACCTTGGAGACTCAGCTACTGAATGAGATAAAAACTATGTAACATGAAAGACCACTTGAGATACAAGATAAGAGAAACAAACTGAGAGCAGGTGACCTGCCCCTGACTTCCCGACGGCAACCCTGGACCACATCGCACATCACCGCCCCGACTCGACTCAAATTATCCAGAAGCCGCATCTCTGGTCGCCTTGAGTGAGAAAGGCGACTGGTCCTAGATCTGTCCTTTGAAGCAGGAGAAAGCAATCTGCTTTTGAGACAGCCCTTCGCAGCTGTAGTCGGCACCACATCCCTTATGAATTCTCCCTCCTCCGGCCTGAATTTTCCGCCCTCAAACACTGGTCGCCTCCACTGTACACTTAATATCCTTAAATAAATGAGGATAATGATGATCTACATCAAAGAATTAATGAGCTTTATTATAGAACAAAATAGAGAAACAGAGATAAAAGTCCTTGAATGGTAAAAATATCAGTTTGAATTCTGGGTCAAGTGACAGGCAGGTCAGAGATACTCCATCCCCCGCCGGAAAGACGTTTTCCCATCCCCGGAACAACACCGGTGCCGGGCATGCCCGAGGCTCAGCACATCCATCTGCCTTCTTTGAAGTGGGAGGTCCAAGTTCAGCACAAGCCGTGACCCCGGAACCCCACTGGCTCCCTGCCACGCGCCACCGGGCGCGATGGGTCTGATCCGGACGGCGCCGTGGCCCGCAAATCACACGCCGCGCAAGGAAAACGAGAAGGCTTTATGAAAAATCCAAAGTTTATTGCAAATTGTATTTTGCTTCCCTTCGCTCTTCATTTTTACAGGATTTATTGATATCCATGATCTTCTCACAGATGTACTTGTTGACTTTGGAGAGTCTCTGTGCAATTTCTGTTTCGTCCACAGTCTCTTGTGCTATTCTGTCGTATAAACACTCTGGACAGGGGAAAGAAACAGGAAGGCCGAGGATTAATGGTGAACTCGAGGCAAATCTTCGGAGCGGGGAGGGGGATGTGATTCCTGACATTTCCCAAATACCAGCTCACTTACCTGGCACAGCAATATTTTCAAATTTTCATACAAAACCCATATGCAGTAAATGTACCCTTTAAAAATAATGATAAAACACCCATGTGCCTGCTCCCCAGCTTCCCTCTGAAGCCCCCAGTGCCCCTCCCCCTCAGGCCCTCTCCCGTCCTCACTAGAGGTAACCAGTCTCCTGCTCTTCTTTTCCTTTTAATGTTAACACACACGCATACATCCTTAAAGAAGGTATTGTTTACTTTCCCCAGTTTTTTTTGTTTTGTTTTGTTTTACTTATTTTAAGTGTGCCCATACTCTCTAGAATCTGACTTCCTTTCCCCCTCAATATGAAAGATTTGAAATGGACCCGTGTTTAAGTGTAAGCTGCAGGTCATCCTTTTCCCTTGGAGAGTGGTGCCCTACTGTGTGACTATTCCCCAGCCTGCGCTGCAGTTCACGGCCAGTGGGTACCTGGGTGGTTTCCGGGGTTTTGTGACTGCGAACCCCCTGGCGCTGTCTCGGGGCACTTGTGTTGGAGGTTCCCCAGGACGGCCCGGGAGAGGGGCTGCTGTATCAGGGCCCGTGCACACTCAGCTTCACTAGGCGATGCCCAGCCAGCTGTGTTCCAAAGCGGTTCTGCTGATGGGCACTCCCAGCAGTGTGTGCGGGACTGGTTGCCCCATGCTTTCCACTGGACGTGGTCAGTTGCTAAGGTTTTGATAACGTGGCTGGTGTGAGGTGGCGTCTCACTGTGTGACTGACAATGAGGCTGAGCACAGCCACTTTACTGAGTCTGCCATCTGCTGAGATGAAGGAAGGGCCTGACTTCCAGCCTGGGGACCTGGTGCCAGTCATTAGCCAGATCCTCCTCTCCCAAACCAGGACAACACACCAAGTGTCTCTTTTTAAGGCTGCCTGGAGGCATCTGAGATAAACTTTTTGCGAACATTCTTCAAACTGGAAGGAACACTGCACCGTATGGGGTTGTTACAATTATTTTATGTATATATGTCTGTTCATTCCCAGCACCTAGCATAGTGCTTGGCACAAGGCAAGATTAAGTATGTATCTGTTAAATTAATGAGTTAATGTTTCTCCAGCAAAACCGGAGGGGACATAAAAATTCTGTACATAAGAGGGCTGGGGAATGTGCCACTAGGTACGTCATCATAGGCTAGACTTTTAACTTCCTGGAGCTTAAGCTACCTCACCTATAGGCCAGGAATGACCACCCAATCCTAAGGAATGGCTGTGATGGATACACATCTGTGTGCCAGGCCAGCCCACAGCAGGTTATCCTTAGAGAAGCAGAACGTCAAGGCTGGGAGGGATCACAGGGGCTGCCCTGTGCTAACCCTGCACGCACAGGAGAGGGGCCTGAGGCCTGGAGGAAGGCTGGAAGGATGGGCAGAATCCACTGCTGCCCCCTCCCCACCCCCAGCCCTTCCAGGCATGAGGCCAGCCTGCCTCCTGGCGTCATCCTGCTGCAGGTGCACGTGCTGCGGGCGTTCTGTCTCTGGGGCACCCTCCCATCCCGCCGAGAAGGGTTTGCACAGAGCAGACTTTAAATACTTTGAATGGACCGCCATTACCTCCTGACCACTCCCACGCCCGACTAATCTCCACTCCCTCTTGGCTTGGCCTTTCCATCGGGACTGAGACAAGAAGGTAGGGGCCCCGTCTGTCCCCCGTCCTACCTCTGCCATTATCCACCTGAATTGCCTCTTCACTCCAGGCTGTCCCATAAATCAGTCTCTTCATTCTTC